CTCATAAAAATACAGCAGGTCTCATAAATTTGGGCATCTGCCAATTTTACAAAAATTAAGCTTATTTTGGCGCGTCGGCCAGCTTTAAATCGGCAACCAAACTCCCTACTCTAGATTTAAGTACATTTAGCTTCAGGAAGGATGCGCTGCTTGACCTTGAAAATACCTTTCAGCTTCAGATTTTTCATTGAATGAGAAAATTCTTCTCCCCCCCCCCACTTCAATTATAGAAATTGGCTTTCGCCAGACGAGAGTTAAAAACGCAGCAGCTGTGCCGCCCGAAAAGTTCCGCAGGAACATCAATTATATAACGGAGCATTGGGCACTTGTACTAATCTTGTACTAGTGCACTACACTGACAACTGTGTAGGTGGCGCCGCGCGTCACGTCACGTACACTTTATGTGTAGAGGAAGGCTAAGTAGTGAACAACGCGTTCAATAGGAGTTAAAAGTAAACCGTTTAAACATAACTAAGTCCTGAATACATGTACCTATGATTTAGTCCTAACTTCTATATTAATTACAAAAGTGTACGCTTAAGTCTCGCTCAACACTCATATCGCGCCTCCATCGTTGAGCCGCTGCAGATGGCTAGTATGATGACCCATATTCGACAAATGATATGCGTTTCTGAATATTACCCCTTGTAGCAATATTCAAGAACATTATCGGCCTTTATGATGATATTATTACCAAAAGGTATCAAGGTTGATTCATAAGAGAAGACCACCCTTCTACAAATCGTTTACCGATTATTTTTAAGGTTTCGTAAAATTTTATTTTGAGGTAGTGGCCATCACTCACTGCTTTCGAACCTGACTTGTGGTGGTAGGCCTTATGTAAATCGCTGTGGTCTGTTTCGATTAAATCGACGCCGTCTGCATTCCAATACAAGCCAACATGACAACGGTACGCATCAAGTACGTCGGTGATGAAGTCGCCTGTCCGCAACGTCACCAGCTGCTGCGGCAAGACAGGTGGAGCGATGCCCTGCGCATTGTTCTGCCCATCCTGCATAGCCTGGACGGATGACCAGCTTCTAACCGTTGCAAAGCGTATTGCGCAGTCTTAGGCAAGACGCACATTTTATCGTCAGCGAAAATGCATCGGGAGCAAATCGCGTGATTACCAGATCTGATCAAACAAACATTTTTAATTCTCCGCAGCCAAATCCCGTATTTTTCCATGGCCTGAAAATGGGTTGCCAAAAAGCCTTCATACGCTTCGGTGGCCTAAATTTGTTTGATTATACGTCGTCTTTATCAACTAAATGATCGGGCGCTTGATTTTGTTCACCTGTGCCAAACGATCATATCGCGAGCTGGAAAAATATCATGGTAGTGTAGCAGTGAGATACCAACAGCTGCATTGCGGCAAGTATAATTCATTAGACTGCCAAAGGTCCCAAGACACGCGTCTTTTTCTGGATTCACTGCTCTTGACGTCGACGATATTTAAGCATGAATTAATATACCTAAGATGTACGCCTTGCAATTCATAGTTTTCGGGAATTGGATCTGCGTCTCTAAGGGAAGTTTTATTTCTGCCCCAAGTGCATGGAAAAGGCGTAGGCGGTCTTGAAAACGCGCTTTTGTCCATTTCGTTTATAGCGGCCAGACTGTTACGGGGGCAAGCACTTGTGTTGACTAAGCACAATGTAGAGTTCTCCCGATGTCACTTACAAGTGGCGTGAGGAAGCGCAGCAAAGTAAATTGAACTTGGAAGCTCTTTACAAGAATAGAGTAGAAGATTTGTGAATATTGTTGAGTTTCTTTGTAAACCATCTTTGTCTTGATCTTACTACATCAAACTTCAATCTCCTAGGTAGGCTTCTTGCTCACCACCCATTGCGCGCGTTTAACATCAATTGTTGATTACATTTGTTGATGAAGTGTAGACATCAACCAAAAGCAAAGCACCCCGTAATCTTACCCTCGGGGGTGGTTTTCTGCCAGCATCACCTTTTTGCTAGTGATGCTGACTAAATATAGCTTAAAAATAAAATCTAAAAATTGATACATTCATTTCGATTTTTATGCAACGTATTAAAACCGTTACACCGACACAAAATTTCTTCCTGGTGAGATGCGCACGACATCCGTGTTATCTCATGCGTCGTCATTCGGTCCAGACAATTAAATTTTGTTTTGGCACCTCATGTTTAAAATGTTGCCGCCAATAGTAGTTAGTATCACCCTGTCCCACCATGATTCACACACGTTATCCAAAAACGGCTAAATGAGTTACAGCGTGTAGTAGGCGGCGGGCCGAAAAAAACGGCACGAGAACTAGATGAAGAATAAATTGATAGCTATTGATACAAATTAAACTCGAACGTCGAAAATTAGGACCCTTTTGTGCGTGACAATGTCGCAAGCCAACGCAAATGATTCAGCAACTGGGTGCCAAATTTATATGGTGCAAGTTGATGCCACCAAGCACACGCACAAATTGACAGACAAAGTAGTCGTTCGGACCACTCCTTTCTAGATTTTTGACGCGTTTTATTGTTAATTGATGAAGGCTGCCATCTGGCGGAAATATAAGCTCATTAAGGTGAGCTCAAGCGACGGGATTTAATATTACGGATTTTTGAATTTTCATCAAAACGACCAGCTTTATTCCTTTTTGTACAATTTAAGCGCGTTTAGCCTCATTGGACAGTTTGTTCTTTTCTTCTTTGTAATTTGAAGAGAGTGAACAAAGACTACCGATAATGTCTTCCGCTATCAGCACGTCGATTCTGAATTTCAGACGCAGACTTGCGGCAACCGACTATCCAAAATCGACGATGCCCACTATTAAAAAATAGTGTTTTGTGCGCCGACGTCCCGAACTAATTTAAAAGGGGGGCAAAGTCGGAAGAGTCAACTAATAGGGAAGAAAAGGAGGGTGTCTACAGCACAGTCGTACAGAGGAGAATCAGGAGGAAAAATAAAAGGTGGATCCACGACGATAGAGGCATTTGGGTTGTGGCTTCGCTTTCTGGGAGTTGAATAAATTTCTTCCGTGGTGATGTAAGAAGGAAGGCAGAACAAAAGTATGAGACACATTTAGGCCACCCTTTTCATCATCACCAATTATTACTAAAAATGTAAAAATCAGCCTCTTATTTTAAAATGCCGAATGTAGAGAAGCCTGGCGTGACAGTACTGAAGTGATTAATATTGAAATAGTACAAGCTAACTTCACTAAAACAGTACAAGCTAACTTCACTGAAACAGCGCAAGCTAACTTTACTAAATCATTGCAAGTTAGTGCCGGACGTCATTTCATGTACACCGTACGTGCAGAGATAGGCTACCTGATGAATAAAGCGATCGATAGAAGTAGAAAGTATATGTATTCAACATTGTTGTTATCTAATTAAATGTTTGCTAAGCTCTTGCACACCGTGTTTGCGCCAACAAAGACAGGCGGGGTATGATTTTGTGCGAAAATGAATTCTTACACGTGCATGGGCTCATCAGACATTCACAATTGTATCAATCCGACGCATAACCCTATGGTGATTTATTTATACTCTTCTATAATCGCATAATCCGTATTGGGACGGAAACAAAGCGTCTTAGGCGTCGCACGCAGGACTTATTATTTTGTAGAAAGCGCTGTCGCTCACAAATTGACTTCCGCATCCTTTTAAAAAAAAACACAGGCAAATGTTTCCAATCAGATAAAGCATCAACATGCCAATTTATAATCGAATTTGGTGATCCCCAATTAATTTTTATTCATAAGGATTGTAGTCGGGTTTTCTTGAGTTTCTAACAATTTGACTTTTATTCAAATCGTACTTTCTTAACCCTCAAAAAGGTTGTGTCAATAGAATTACACGTTTATTATTATTAATATCGACAGACAACATAGTATTTAAAAATTGAGACATTAGCTAAGAGCACCTTGCGCGGATATAATATAGTCATTTCTTAATCATTAAGACGCCCTTTTTTATCGTACTCGTCAGTTTCACACAGCCTCACACCTAAGTGCATCATAGCCTTGTGCAGGCTTCTCTGTACATAACGTTACTCCTTCACTCTATATTTGCAATATCGTTTCATAAGCAAAACGAAATAATTTTTTTGTGTAGAATATTACAGATTTTCCAAAAGATAACACGCCGTGTGATTGCTTTGATGTACCATGTAGCCATTGCATATAAGATGAAACATGAATAGCAAAGTGTCTGGATGTACATATTATTGAAAGTAAACAGAATATTAGACGAACATAAATCAAGACGGATGTAAGTAATCTGAATGGCGTAGTGCTTTTGTCGATAAACATTTCCTTTTATTGCGTGTCTTTGTGGTATACCTAATGTTTTATAATAGATTGGTAAATTTTGATCATTGCTATTCATTTAGCGGTTCAGACACCAATATGTTACATCAGCGGCTGTAGCGTTGTAAAATTCTATTGATGCATATTCAGAGCTTCATTAACGCGGGACTCGGATATAGATAAATTGAACTTAGAGACAATATTTAAAAAAATTATGTGTGGCGATAATGACCCAATTAATTGTCGCACGAAGATGGATTGTGCTAATACCTATCGCCGTAAAAACTTAGAATTTAAGTAATAATAAACAACCAAGTCAGCAGAGTGATCAGTAAACACATTTTTATCAGAAGATTAAGAAATTGCTGTTAAATCCTAACACTGTGGCTTAATTATAAATTGATAGTGTTTAAGGCAAGAGTATTGGGTTGTATTTGTAAGGGCTCTGTTCACACCATTTTAAAATGTTTTTGTGGAGCTTTATAAATTAACGTTCAGCTGCAATTAGTCGACAACTGTTTGCGAGACCCCAGAGAAGCTGTTTATAGGAATCTCCTTTTTTTAAATGGCAAATCACAGCAGTCTGATCGACCCGGTCGGCTATCGCCTCCGAGGAGGCGCCAGATCGGTTGACCTCCTCTTCGTATCGGAATCGCATGCGATCGTACTTGGATCGTAAGAAGTCCACGAAATGAGACGCCAAACTACGAAGCCCATGGAGATTCTTCCGCAGCTGACAATTCCGCACCATCTGCTGCACCAAGGCAGACTCCATACTCTGGTATTGATCCACGACAGCTTGCTGGAGGTGCAGACGATGGAAGATCCAGTCGATCACGGCGTCCAGCGTCGCTTGATTAACCAAGCTCGACAGTTCGATTCGGATACTTTGAATCAGGAAAGAATCACTCAGGTTCAAGGTTGGAACGCAATCGCTTACCGGGCCACGTCCGGAGTGAGGATCGGAGGAGGTGATCCGAGATACATCGATCCAAAAATTGGCGAAGAAACAGGATTCGAGGAGAAGAGATCGGCCATCGGAACGGAGGACGTGAAAACGAAGACAGTTGGTACAATTTACAAAGGTTGAACAGCCAGATCAACACATTACATGACTAACGGTGCAGGGGACGGTTGTGGCAAAGTGCTCACAAGGAAATTATCTATTCAGTTGGAGTTGGGGATCGGGTGGATCTCACCCCTCAGATCGGTTAAAGCGTTATGATTGGTGAAAACAAACTGGGACGGGTGGCTAGCAATAGCGCACGTAAATCCGGTAAGCAGGATTGATATCACCTGGGACAAGTCTAGATGACAGTGAGACCAGCCGAATTGCGTGATTCATCGTGAGATAGGGCAAGGGAAGATTCGTTATCCCTCACCTAGGGATCACAATCCTGGCTTAGGATCATAGTCCTGACTTACGATCACGATCCGGAACTAAGATAAAAATCCGGACTTGTGGTCACAATCCGGACCTAGGATCACGATCCGGACCCAGGATCACGATACGAGATCAAATGGTGGTGATATCTCTGGTGGACCACAAGAATATTTGACTGCTGATACACATGATGTGGGCCACGCCAATACGAGAGGACGATCTTTCTATAACGGTGACGCGTGGCATCCGGTTAGGATGTACTGATAAGGCAGAGGGGTTGGTTATAGGTTGATTGTAGCATTAAAGAGACTTCAATTCACTTTATAAGACGCACGCAATCTCTTTCGGAAATGATCTTTGCCCCCCCCCCCGACGACTGAAAAGTCGCGTTACCCGTCCATATAAGTGTCGCACCGATATTGTTTGGCCAGGTGCGTTCAAGAATTTTAGGTAACTGCAACTGCGATCTAACGCAGCAAGGCACGTAAAGGCAAGGCACAAGATCGCGAGACGGCTCAAGTGGTCAGAAGGCTCGCGCATCAAGAACCCACACAGTGGGCTAGGCGATCTTTTTAAGATCAGGGTAACTTAGATCAGTATCCATCGATAACCCAATGATCGCGCAAAGATTTCCTCCCAATTACACGAACCCATCTCCAACACGGTCAAGTTTTCCCTTGACACGCGTCGTCCTGGAAGAGTGCAACCCGCCCTACCGACGGGTGCACAGGTGAAAAAGCAATATACAATGGATTGGAGTACCCTCCGTTAGCCGGTCGTCTGGGCGCCAGTGGAGAGTCGGGATCGTCTCAAGAAATGAGCGATCACCACTCCACCACAAGACCCACCCCCTGCGCTCGATGAAGGGCCGTCATAAAACGACCTCCCGAACGCGAGTACAGAGATTGCAAGGTGTCGATCCCTTCGGCCATCTCAGAAGAGATGCGCGCCCTCCAGTAGTGAATAAATAGGAAGGTTGGCCTCCCTAGGGGCACAATTCGAGTTTTTCAGGCAACCTGGACACGAATCACCCCACGAGAGACAGGGTAATCCTGCCTCTCTTGAAATCCGGTGCAACTTGTATCGCACCCCGACTGGGTTGCGCTTCTCAAACCTGATGCGAGCTGCCTAAATTTTACCGAGCCAGTTCTCACGGTTAATGCACTCGATGTTATGGATGAGGGCATTCCATCCCTGCACCAAGGCTTTTCCGTCTCGAACACGGCTGCCATTGTACCATCGATGTTTAAAAAACGCATCGGTGGAGAATTCTTCCTCAGCACGGATAGTTTCCGTGCTAGAATTAGGTGGGCAAATCCTTCTACAGTAGAACAAAGGGATTAGATCCCTATCGGTGGTCATACCAGCCCATCAATTCTACTTCTTGCATCATGACATCTAAGGAGACTCCATTTGAGGTAAATGGCGCAGGACGATGCGGTCCCTGGCCTCTTGAGTGGTGGCACCACGAGCACTGACACCTGTGGCAACTCAATTTTTCGAGTTGCTTCTTTCGTGGTGATACATAGGTGCACCACCACTATCACCACGCTTCCCTAGTGTCAGATGGACTTGTGTGAGACGAGGATTCGTCGGACGAGTCGCTCGGTCCAAAGATCGCGGACACGATGCCGCCACGTTCCCAGATCCAATCAACCTAGCTATTGCAGTGTCCGCCCCGGGTGATCCGGAGGCGCAAGGTGTCACCTTCGAGTCGGATACATCATCTGGCTCGCCAGAAGAGATGAGCCCTATTTCAGACTCATCTGGATTACAATTCGCGGTTCCCGCTACAGACGCAGCGGATGTATCTATCGCACGTGGTGACTCACCACGTGGACTCTTCACAGCAGCAGGCAACGAATCACCTGCTGCTGAGGTGTAAGAGGCACTTTTCGCGGCTGCAAGCATGCGTGCAGCCGCCTTTCTTGCTGCTACAGTAGCAACTTGCATGTAATTTGACACCATGCGATAAATTGGCAAATTTGTTGGAATTTGATTAACAAGTGCTCCCTTTCCCGGAGTGATCCAACGGTGGTCACCCTGTCCCAATCACTTAAAATTAATCAACGGGTGATTGATGGTTAAGGGGGGGGTTATGTAACGAGGTAGTCCGTTACCTGATATTGACACCAAACTGTGTCAATAGGGATATTGTCTAGCATGACAATATCCTACCAATATTATCCGAGATGGATAGTATTGAAGGAATGTTATCCCTTTTAGGATAATATTTATGCGCTGCTCAAAGATTGGTTGTTAGATACATATCAACCATAGATTATCACCAATCGGTGCTAGACGCGCGCAATGAGTGGTGAGCAGGTTGTCATCAAACGACGACGTAGTTTAATGTAGTTACATAAAGATTAAGATTATATTGATAGCTTAATTATATTAAATACAGTTCTCTTTTTACCCTCAAATCAGACTAGCTGTTTGAGCAGATTAGCTTCCTCTGCACGTACTAGTGTACGTGAAGCTTCGTGGAACCCCAAACAAGGGGTGCCCTGCTACATGCACCGCATTAAAAGATTAAAAGATCGTATCTTATATCCAAGGGTGTCTGCGTAGTGAGATAAGGGTTTCAACCTGCTCAGACCCTTCTTTATTTTCTCATTATCTAATTTTTTATTTTGTTTCGTGATCAATCGAGACAATTTTGCTATCTTCCCATATACCTTTTTTGCAATATACTAGAGCATTTTTCGCTCAAATGAGCTGGGGCTTTTTTGACTTCTCTTTTTATTTGTGTGATTGAATGGAATATTTTTATTTTTGGATCAAAAACGTAAGTGTCGAAAAGTGTGAGAAAGAAAAAAATCGAGTCACGCAAAAATAGAATCCGTGACACTATTTGCGGTGATCACTGTACCTAACAGGTGATATTTCACTTAAAAAAATTAAATGAGCTAATACAAAGTCAATTGCTAACATATGTTCGTTTATTTCTTCAAAAAATGTTCAGTTGTTCCCTCATACATTGCGCCAAAGGGGGTTTCACGTTCGCAAGTCGTTCGGCCTTCTGCGCCTTTCACCATGCGCAGATTTCGCATTTGGCCAACAGTTTTTTGCACCTGGCTCTCGGTCTCGAATAGAGATCATTAGCGAGCATGTGCTACAGCTGCGAACACCGCTCAAGCACGCCTTGACGAAGCCACGCCCGACTACAAAAGCTTGTATATACGCGGCTCGTCATCACTGAACACGGTCGAGCCAGTCACGAAGTCGGGTATCTACGCGGTGAACAAGACCGTCTTCGATATCACCGTGAACGATGATCGGATGGGAACCGACGTGGAAGAGTTGGTGAAACCTTTATTGTCTGAATCCATGGCAATCGCCGGGGAAGTTGGGATCCGCCTGCCTAAACAAACCCGGTTTGATCGGAACGTGAAACCTGTGGAGAATCCGACTGTTGATACTCCTGTCCGTGAGAATGAGATGATGGAAACTGCGGATATTGAGACTGCGAATCGTAAGACTGCGTTCAGTGATACTGCGATTATGGAGACTGCAACCCAACCCTTTTTTCAATGGTCGGGTCCTCACAAGTACAAAGGAGAGTTCGAGAGCGGCATGTGGAAATTTAAACGTACCATGGCATTTTGGAAACACGACAAAGATAATAAGGTCATCGATGCGCCGAAACTAGGGAAGTTGTTGGAGGCTAAAATGAAGGCATCGGGATCGAAGCACGTTGAACCGGACGAGGTCATCATCACCATGTTGCTCTCTTTCAGTCCACTGGATGTGGTGAAGCTACTAAAATTGCTTCGTGAGATTGAGGGCATGGAAGGTAAGGCCGACGCGTTGCACAGGCGACTACTTGTGATCTTCAAAGAGCATCTAGGGGTGGTGTCTTACGCGTGGATGGAGTCGGAATATCTTCCCGAAGACCTTTTTAAGGTTGACCGGTTGGATGGAACGACGATAGACTACGATGAAACACCAGTTTTTCTATCAGAGTGGCTATGGTATATTGGCAAGTACAGCGAAACACACTTACATCTATTTCGCGTAGATCACGCTGTGAAACTTTTGTTCAAAGCAAAGGGGCTAAATACGTGAACGCCTTTTTCGATGGAATTAAAGGAGTACCTGGACGTGAAAAACTTGCCGATGGGCTGCTCGAACTTTACGTTGAAGCTTAAAACTCCCCAGCCTGGACGGAAATCTATGGCACAGCAAAAAAATATTTGCAGAGATACATCAAAAGTCAGCACCTCGCCAAGAGGGGGTATCGTGATGGAATAGTCGTGATGAAGAGGTATCTTTATCTGGAAGAAACACTAAATTACTACGAGGCTTCTTTCGTAAGGAAAGCATTATCGTTGGAGGAAAGTCCACTGCGTATTGTGGAATTTCTGGTGAAACTCTATGAGATCGGGGGGGCGTATGAAGTGGTCGTCGGACTGCACAGAATGCTACTTGCACACTACACGATTAACTCAGAAGCGATGTGTCACGCGTGGATGGAACTGAAATTGCACCCACAATATGTTCTCGATATGCTTGGGTTGACTATGGATCAGCGAAACACTGAATTAAAACTGTCAGCTTATCGGTGTGGTTAAGGTACGTTGACATGTACCGAGAGAAGTACCCGCGAGCTTATAGTGCCGAAGACGCGTTGAAGCAATTGTTTCGCAACAAGGAAGCGGTGGAAGTGGAGAAGATTATTGGAAAGATTCCGAATGCCCGTAAAAATAAGATGGTTAAGGGACAGCTGCGCAAACTACATCATGCAGTCGTGGCGAGTGAACAAAATGCTGATACGAAGAGTCAGTTTTACAGGCATTTGAAGGATTGGTTCCAGAGCTTATTTCACGCCCGTTCAAGCGAGCGTCGTAATGAGTAAGTCGATTTTGTATATGTGCATCGGATACAGTAGGCTTAGAGGTAGCATAAGTACTATGTGAACTAAGGACCTCTTGTAGATTACATCGTTTTCCTTATTTTACCACTCAAACGACATTCGAAGAAGCACCAAGCTCAGCTGGCCGTCGACGAAATCTGCAGTCGACTTCAAAGTATCGATAAGGCATGGCTGAACGTACCGGTCGTGGGTAGGTCATTTTACCGGCGATATCGGCCAATTAAAAAAGGCCGCGGACCGTAGCACAGTCCTTTTAAGTCCTATCAGATATCGATGAAAATGATCAATTGATGTAGTCATTTGATTTGTCCTCCCTCTCATATCGATTAACAATGATCAATTTATATAATTATTTGATTTATCCATTTATATTAAAAGGGGGATAGAGGAAGTGATGAAAAAAGTGGGGCATAGGGGACGATCAAAACACATCCCCTATAAAGCCTACCGCTCCTCTCTTGTATCCTGCACTATACAACCGTACATAAGTAGTGCTTTTGAGTCGTGCTCTGTGATCCCATAGACCACCCAAACACGAAATCCGTTGTGTCTGCATAAAATTCTGTCACGGATAGTGACAATACAATATCAGTGATAAGATTTTGGCGTTGCGTGGACACGACGACGAGATAAGTACTTTCATCATTGGTCTTGTGATGTCGTGGCTATGAGTTTTGCGTCGCAAAGAATACTTACCGGTGCACAGCTTTACTTGGCACGAGCATATCATGCTGTTTGTAGACCGTGAGTCGTGATGTAAACCTGCGTCCGTCAGTGCTATCGGCTTATGCCGGTTACTGGATAATATATACGTGGTGTTGCTAGCAACTGACTAAGAGCGAGGAAGTGTCAACAAATTGCTGGTTTGTGTTGAGACAGATAATGAAGCTCATGTGATATTGAGATATTGCTCATTGCTTTTTTAGGTTTAACGGGATGGACGTTCAGAAGACATAAATCCTGCTCCTCCGAGCATGTTTTGGTGTAGCGAACAGTCCGAGTGAAGACCGCAGCCCACATATTGTTAAGACGATGAATGCTGGTATCCATCAACGCGATTTGGACGGTCACAGCCCCCGCTCAAAAGTAGTAAAGTACGCTGATGCAAATTACGAGCCCAATGATAACGCACATTTGTCATGATTATGTGCCTTGGGCAATCAACCCTGCTCAACACACTATGTCGGGATAGACGTGTTGACTATCTCATACAGGTCCGTTTACTGAGGTCCATGCAATTTTTAGCGCTTTATTTTGCTCTGTAAAACAAAGAAAAGCAGTCACTACCAGCTTTTGCGTCAGTATCCGCACGTCGAAGGGATACTGAGGCGCTATGTCGTGGGTCCATATTGCGTTGTTGGTCACAAAAATTCAATGTTGCAAATGTGGGAGACCATGTTGCTGTGCATAAAAAGTTGTTTAAAAAGACTGATGAACTACCGATGACTAAAGTATCAGATTACAATTTGTGCGACAAATCGCAAACGATCAAACTGTTATCTAGCGCTTGCACGACCGCAGCGCCAATATTCTTTCATCGATTGTGTTTCCTCACGCGTGAGTATTGACTCACCAGACACAACGATTTTTGTTTTTAAGTGATCAGTGGGATCACAGTGCACAAAACAAACGCAATAGTTGTATGCAATTGCGTAGTGCAGGATACAAGAGAGAAGTGGTAGCCTATCAAGGAGGATGTTTCGATTTACCCGTATCCTCCACTTTTGTCATCTCTTCCCCAATTCTATCTCTTTAAGAATGGACTTTTCACATGATTACATAAATTGATCATTTCTAATCGGACTGTGTTAGAACCAAGAAATTAATGTTTTTAAATCGTGGCCATTGAAAATGGGCTGAACAGATAGACACCCTCAACTTGCTACGTGGACCCCCCCCCGGATAGATTTTTTCTAATGATTATCATACTAAGACGGTGTCCCCCTAAAAATTAGTATGTGACCGTCACTCCTAACGAAAATTGCGATATTCCGTGTTAGCCACAGAGACAGCGCCAGCGCGTCCAGTGTACGGTATTGCGGTCGTCCCTCTTGCACACGTTGACTCCATTTTATTACACGTGTACGATGTGGTAAGTCGTTTATCTCGTCACAGATTTAACAGCTACGCCGGATTCCTTACTAACGCTATACTTCGATGCGTTAGTATGGTGATTAATGTTACGCTGATGCAGATATCTAATTGCTTTACCACACCCCTTGTGTAACGGGGCACCCTGAAGCTTGTACTGGTGACAGTACAAGCTACTTATTCTGATAACAGAATAAGGCGGTGCCTCGTAACTTCACGTACACTCGTACGTGCAGAGGAAGACGGTAAGAAGAAGCGAGTACTTGGTTAGAGTAAAAAGTAGAACTGTATTTATAATAGTTAATGTCTGCAATAAATCACTATTTATCTTCATCTAACTATGTCTAAATACAAATGTGTAAATCAGTTATCTGCTCACCACTCATTGCGTGCGTCTGTCGTGGCGCGTCTTCGTTGGTTGATATAATGGCCTATATCAACCAATTAGGAACTACTTGGAAGTGCTACAGAATATTGTCCTTATGACAATATTCTGAGAATATAACTCTTATAGTTATATTCTATTAACAATTTCTTATAAATTGTTATGTAACGATTCACCCCGTTACATCACCCCCCTTAACCATCAGTCACTTTAGTGACTGATTGACTGAATAGATACTTGTCCCAGATCATTTGGGACAGGGTTTGCACTTGTTGGTCCGAGTCCACTTTCCAACAATTCATCGCATGGTTAACAAGCCCATGCGATGCGCGAGCAAGGCCGCCGAGAGCGCGTCTGCACGTCTCTGTGCGGACGCCGAAGCAGAAACTACAGCAACTGATATCCCATCGGTTGCTGAATCGACTCAGCCTGTATCACCTGGTGATGCAGGCGCTGGTCATGAAGACACTCGTGTCTTCACAGAGTACGAGCTCGGTGTCTCGTACTCTCCTGATACGGATGACGGATCCGTATCGACGGCAATTGAATCCAAGCCGCCTGCCAAGCGTGGCATGGACGATGCTTTGCGTCGCAGCATCTTTGGTTCATCTGATGAGTCAGATGAACCATCGCCGAAGCGAAGGCGCTCGAGGTCGCGAGACTCGGGCGCTAATAGTGGTGTCGGTTCTCCTATGGACACCACTTCACAGCGAGGTGCCAGTACTTCTGTCGGCACGTCGCAGGAAGAGCGGGACCGCAATGTGTTGCGTCTCGCTCCAGAAAAGAAGGCATGGATGCCTCCTAAATCTGTCATGGATCACTTGTCGGCGACGACGAGTGATCGTTATCGAACACGATTGTTCGATTCGTCAAGGATTCATCACCTTGACCCCAGCGCGAAAGACTATCGCGCTGAACATGAGTTCTTCATCGATGCTTTCTTCAGACATCGATGGTACAGTGGGAATCACAAACGTGATGGTCCCTCACTACTTCAGGCGTGGAACGCCTACATCCATAATCTCGAGGATGTAGGTCGTGACGTTTGGAACGACAAACTTATCAAAGCTTGTGATCAGTTTGAGAAAGAACCCCGACAGGTGCACGCTATAAGCTGCATCGTCTGTCAAGGGAGAAAGGATTACCCTGCCTCTCCTAGGAAGACTCGTGCCCATGTTGTGTGAACAACTCTGCACGAGCACCTAAGGAGGCTTACCTCCTTACTAGCCCGTGGTGGCGCGTACGTATCTCTAGTGAGATGTAAGAAGGGATTGACAACCTGAAATCCCTTTACGACCGTGCCGGGAAGACTTTCTCCAGCGGTTCTTTTGCGGCACAGGATGTGTCGCGTCGTACTGCTCAACCAGACCCAGTACGTCAATCATCAGTTGGGAGCGGGGCTCCCAAGTATCCCAGGACGGGGGATAACCGCGCCACCGGACAAGGTAACTCGTCCGACGTCCGTTCACATCGCAGTAGTTCAACAGCTGCTCAACCAGATAGCGCTGGTCACCGCGAGAGTCCTCCAATGGAGGTGGAGGAGGAGGGAAAACGCTCTCCAAACTATCGTGGGGGAGCGTGTGTCCCCGAGAGCCTCTTTGATCGCGTAACTCTTGCGTTACGCGGCGACCTCGAGCATGAGCGGGACAGGCGTCTTCAACTGGCAGACACTGTCTTGAAGCATCGAGCTGAGTTTGCATTTGCTCAGCTTGAGAACGAGAGAGCTCTGACATCTCTTAGTGACGAGCTAAGGGTAGCTCGTGTGGATATCGACCGGTCTCGGGCTGAGATAACTGCTCTTCAGACCCTTGTCGATGCCCACCATCGGGAGCACAAGGCTCTCTGCGAGATGCTTGAGCGCAAGGGCGTTCTTCATCGGAAGAAGCAGCGTTCTGATGGTACGGCTTAAGCCGACCAACGTAAAACGTGGGATGCGTTCGCATCTTACGTGGCAACTCGATCGTGTATGCATTGCCAAGGCGGTGCAATACACGAAATGGGCCAATGTACTTGGGTAGTAGTTTACTGCTACCCAAGTTAGTCACTACATGCTTTGGTAGATTAACCGTAGACAGTAGGACTAAGTCACCTTTATTAAATAAAAGAGTGTTTGCCCTTCCATTCTTGTCAGCGTTTTGCTTTTGCTTATCCACCGCTTCGGCGATGGAGTCTTGCACAAAACGGACTACCGTTTCACGAGCCAGTATGAACTCATCTGATGACTCGTTAGCTTCAGTGTGCTGTGAGCGCACTGCAGCGACAACAACCTTTTCTTCAGTGAGGGCTTCCGCACTCTCACTGGGATCATTGTCTTCAGTGAGGGCTTCCGCACTCTCACTGGCATCATCTTCTTCGATATCGATGTTATCGATATCGGCATCAAACGCAATGACTTCTTCGTCAGAGCGTGATGAGCGTGAACCAAATCGGTTTTTGCTCGCGCGAGTCCCTCCCCCTTAAACCAGAGTTACACTCTAGTAAGGTGGGTACACGCGGATGGCGCAAGCCATTCACGTAAAACGGAGTATGTGTCGTGGACGCATGCACCGAGTTGTTGATGGCAAACTCTACCATCGGCAAAAACTCACTCCAACTCTTAAAGGAGTGTACGTATCCTCGAAGTATCTCTTCAAGGACACGATTGGCACGTTCCGTCTGACCATCTGACTCTGGATGATCAGATGTTGACATCTTCAAGCGCGTTCCGAGTGATTTGAACACGGAACGCCAGAAATCAGCAGTGAATCGTGGATCTCTGTCTGATACGAGTTCACGGGGCAACCCATGAAGTCGGAAGATGGTGTCAATAAAGACACAAGCACAGCCACTTGCCGTGATTGTCTCTGGTACAGCCACAAGGTGTACCATTTTGCTGAATCTGTCAACAAATACGAGAATACCCGTATTCCCGCGTGCGTCTTTGGGTAACCCGAAGACGAAATCCATTGAGATGGATTCCCAGCACTCAGCCGGAACCGGTAGAGGCTGTAAAGGTGCACGCAGTGAAGGACTTGACTTCACTCGTTGGCAGACTTCGCATGCGCGAACATACTTTCGCACAAACTGATACTGGCGGGGCCAGTAAAAGTCTCGACTTACCGTGAGATATGTTTTCTCTCGGCCACGATGTCCTCCTATAGGAGCATCGTGATACTCGAACATGATCCGCAAACGCAGATCAATATCATCTGGAATGACAACACGTGGTGTGTCACCAGAAACGGCTGTATAGTACAGTAAACCGTTACGAGTAGTGTATCGATCTGATGCAGATCGATACGCAGACGACAATCGTTTCAACGATTCTCGAGATGGTTGGGAGAGATGTGACAACAACTTCACTATCTCACCATCTTGGGCGTATGCCCGCCTCACATCATCATACAACGTTGTAGATGGAACTGAGGACGTCATAACCGCAACAGTGACTGTCTCACTGTTGGGTTTCGCGACTGTTTCAAAGTCGGGACGACGTGAGAGTGCATCAGCGACGACATTAAGTCGTCCTGGTTTGTACTCGACCGTAAAGTTGTATTCTGCAAAGAATGACAACCACCGCGCCATTCGTTGTGAAAGGTGCGGGCTGTTCACTGCCGTGCGTAAGGACGCATGGTCAGTGTAAACAACGAAGGGTCTATCTCCTAATAGATAGACTCTGAACTTCGCGAGTGCATACTTCATGGCAAGGAGTTCCTTGTCATGCACTGGATAGTTCCGCTCAGCTGGTTGCAGCTGACGCGACTGATAGCAGACGACGCGTTCAACGCCTTCAAGGTCGTACTGCATTAATGCACAGCCGATTGCGAAATCGCTGGCATCACAGACCACATGAAATGGCCTGTCCTGATCGGCTATTGCTAGGACTGGGGATTGTATCAAGCTCTGCTTGATACCCTCAAAGGAGCGTTGACATTCAGCGTTCCATAACCACCTCTCGTTCTTTTTCAACAAACGAGAGAGGTGTACAGTCATCTCGGCGTAATTGCGTGAATACTTATGCAAATACGCCGCTAGCCCAAGGAATTTTCGAAGACCTTTGACATCGACCGGCACGGGCCAGTCGGTGATCGCCTTGATCTTTTCGGGATCAGGACGTACACCGTTCTTACCAACGATGCACCCAAGAAGTGGTATTTCGCTTGCTGCAAATATACACTTCTTGAGGTTTGCATACAATTGATGCTTTCGCATGATTGTAAGAACTTGTCGGACGTGGTACTTGTGAACCTCAACGTCCGACTTTCCATCCATAGCTCGACTATGGATGAATACGTCATCGAAATAACTCGGCGCGAATTCTCGTACTGGCCTCAACAGATGTGATACACACCTGTTGAACGTGGCAGGGGCATTACTGAGCCCTTGTGGCATTACTAGCCATTCCCAGAGCATGCCGCTAGGCGTGCTAACTGCGGTATAGGGTATATCCCGTTCCCGCATTAGGATTTGATAGAAGCCATCCATCAAATCCATGGACGAAAAGATGGTACTCTTTGACATACCATCAATGATTACGTCCTTCCTCGGTATCGGCGTCTGAGCCGGTACCGTTGCAGCGTTCAATTTGTTAAACGCGTGCACTATCCGCCACCCTCCTGTTGCTTTTCGCACACAGAAGGTCGGAGAGCTATGTGGGGAAGTTGATTCCCTCACATGGCCCGCTGCTAAACGATCGGCAAAGAACTTGTCGATCGCAAGTACTTGTTCACGAGGCAGTGGCCACTGCTTCATGACACAGTACTTCGAGCCTGGTTTAAGCTCGACTTCGTGTCGAATACCTTTATCCTTCGGTAATTCGCACGGAACAGTTTCAGGGAATACATCCTTGAATTCAACCAAATCTTCATAGAGAGGATTTTCCTTGAGCGATTCCCATGATTGGGACTCATATCGCTCAATTCGTGTCTTTTCATCTAGGACACTCTCGTCCATAGATGAACTACTGAGAACCCTCTCGTTCTCAGTAAACACTGTTGCTGACCTTATGTCGGTTACATACTCGTCTTCAGCGACGAGTATGCAGATCTGCTTGACTTTGCCACTACGCAGATCACGCAAGAATCTTTTATGTTCGAGCGTTGGCAACTGAGTGATCTCCGAAGTTAACTTCGGAGGCGCAATCAGATCAAGTGTATAAGCGCCTACACATGATCCGTTATTGACTATGACATTCAATGTCTCTGTCATTTCCTGGGGACTTATTCCCTCAGGCTTCGAAGGACTTATTCCTTCGTCTTCCCGGGGACTTATTCCCGCGGGTTTCGGGGAACTTATTTCCACCGTATTTGTAATCTTGGGACTTATTCCCTTTACTTCCTCTAGCTGGGGTTGCGCAACCACAGCGAGATCCTCTACGAAAGACTCTCCAGTCGATCTAGGATTATCGTTTCGCTTAACCTGAGCGATCGATTGTTTCTCTTCTAGATGTTCCCCTCTAGGGATACATCTTTGTCCCAGTCCACCCGACTTATTCGAGTGGTGGACCTTCGGCGCAGCCTGTGTTTCCTCACAGCCGCCGGAACTTTGCTCCGAAGTGTAACCGTTTGGTACACTAAGGTTTTGTGCAGTCGTACTAACGACCGTACCACAAGTGAGGCCATCGCACTCACTCGTAGTACATCCACACGCTTGTGGACTCTCCAAAACGTTCATCAGATGGCCATCTGATGAACAAGCGGCAGGCATCGTTACTGTCCGATGTTGCCAGTTTACCCGTGGTTCGTACCTTCTGAGCCACGGTATTCCAAGGATGACATCAAATTTGTCATCCAAATCCAATACGATAAAGTCATCGTCGTATTGGGTATCTTCTAGCGTATAGTGAATCTTCACTATACGCTTCATGACGGTTACGGATGCGCCTGTCGCAAGACGTACCGTCATCCTCGTAGGAGGTGTGTCACATTCACTGAATTTAAAGTGACCATCTTCTAGCGATTGGCGTCGCACAAAATTGTTGGACGCCCCACAATCGACTAGAGCTCGAAGGGACAACTTATTCGTCACTTCGAGTTTCAAGGTAATGAGTGAGATCTCATTACCAAGAGCAGCAACGCACAATGTCTGTGTGTTGGGAGCAACCTTCATCAAGAGGCCTACAAATTCTCTTGACGTTGCTGGATCAGTAGGGTGCTCCGCACCTACTGATCCTGTCCGTTTTTTGACGGTCCATCCCGTTGTTGCGTCTTTGCACCAACTGCGGACCCTCGTCCCTGCCCCCTTTTCATGGGTGGACGGTCACTACGCCCAGTGTCGCGAGACACTGGACGAGGGGCACTACACTCGTAAGCGTAGTGTCCTGTCTTTTGACATCTGTTGCATCTCTGCAACTTCTTGTAGCCTGTAGAGCGAGCCTTCTCGCTCTCTACATAACAGAGTTCCATCGGCTCTGGACCTCCGTTGTCATATCGTCTCGGTTGACGATATGATGTCGAGCTGGCGCGAGCCTGTCTCAGACTGAAGTCTTCCTGCTCCGCAATTGAAATGGCTTGTTCTAGTGAATCTAGTTCAAGCCGGAACAGGTGAGTCTTGACGGGACCATCCGCAAGACCCTGCATGAACACCGAAACCAACGTGTGTTCATCCACCGGATTGGAACTTATACAACTCGTGAGATGTCGTATATGTTGAGCGTAAGCGTGCACATCACGCTTACCCTGCTTGAGCTTCAAGAGTTCGGTTCGAGCTCTGAACTCAGCTCTAGGCGGTTCAAACGTTTGTCTGAGCCGCGACTTGAAGACTTCCAACGACCCAAACGCATATGGGTCGTGCAGCTTGAGCCCCAGTGCCCAAGTCTTGGCACGTCCTGCCAGATTTGACTGGGCAAATGCAACTTGCATATCCCCGTCGTCGATGCGACGCGCCCTTATGGCGTCATCCACTTCGACGAACCATCTCAAGAGGGAGTCT